CGGGGGGCGGAGGGGAGGCCAACAGCCGCTCGCAGTCCCGGTTCCTCCTACCTGCGCTGGGCTGTCCCTGCCCGGTTCCCCAGGGACAGGGGGATGGGGAGGGATCACACTGGTCCCTTCTGGATTTTCAATTTTCACTCTCAAGCTCACTTGCTTTTTCTGCCTGATCGTTTTTTTGCCTTTCACCCCCCAAAGTAGCGATGGAGGTAGTAATGTTTCCTGTTTTTAAGGGAGCAGCGACACGTCTTCAGAGACCTCGGAGGACTCGGACAGCAGCCCTTCCCACCCGCAGGTACGGCCGCGGGCAGAGAGCCTTGGCCAAAAGCAGCCGCAGCCGCGACCAGCCGCAGCCGCGAGGGTGCCGGCTCCGTGTCCGTGTGGCTCCCGCCCACCGTGAGACCAACGGGGAGGGCAAATGCATAGAACCATATGGATATACCGGCAGTGGGGCTGGGGTGGTGGTTGTCACCTGCTGTAAGCAACGTTCCTCATTTAGAGGGAAGCATCCCCCGGGGTCAGGGAGGTCCCTGGGCACATCCTGAGCCCCTCAGATGGCTGCATGCCTTTGTGTGGGTTCAAGGGCAGAGCCGCCCTGGGGGATGCTAGTGTCTGACCTGGGGTTTGTGTCTGCTTCTCCAGGGCCCTCACTCAAAAGAAAATCTCAATTACACATCCCTGGTCTTCCCGGGGAAAGGCCACGGGCCAGGCTCTGCCAGGGACTACGAGAACGTGAAGACTGGGGCGGACTACGTCAACGTGGACCCCAAAAAGAAGAAAGTGGATTTCTGGCCCTGCTCCAGCCCCGTGTCATCCAAGTCCATCGAGTACACCGAGGTGAAGCTGTGACTCCCGGGTAGCTGCTGGCAGCGTTTCGGGTCAGAGCGCTGCTGGGACGGGGAGAAGCCCGAAGCCCCTGGCAGCCGCGAGACCAGGGCTTCCCCTTCCCCTCGCCTCGGTCAGTGCCTGGCACCGGCTGATGCCTGCCAGCTTCTAGTCCTTGTAACGCTCTGACCCGGCGACACAATTTGCTTGGTGTTTTACTTCAATGCACGGCTGTTGCTGAAGGCTGCTGAGCGTGGGATGGAGCGTTCCTCCTGCCCAGGCTGAAACGTGCTCGCCAGCTTTGTGTGACAGCCCTGTTTCTCGTTCCGTGAAGGCAAACGGAACATCCCTCCCTGCCCCTCAAAATGGGATGTAGTCTGGGGAGGGAAACGCAGTGGTCTTCAAAATGCCCATCCGGACTGGCATCTCCTCTGAACCAGGCTTTCTTTGCTGATCGCTGTCATAAAATCCTTTTCAATACAATTCCTCCACCAGCTTTGCGCTCACTGCCCGACAAGCCCTGATCACTCCCCTCCCCTGCACCCCTTTTCCTCTGATGCTCAGAATCTTTCCAAGCCCCGGTCACCCTCAGAGCTGTCACTGGGGCTGGGGTGACTGTGGGGGTGCCTTGACCCCCCCCCCCCGCCACGCATCGAGGGGGATGCCCGGGCAGGGGGAGGAGGGGGGCCCCGCCCGCCCAGTTGAAAGCTGTAGGCATCAGCCCGGCTGGCAAACGGCCGAGGGCTTCCCCCGGGATCTGGATCCCCCCCGCTCGGCTGGAGAGTGCGGGCTGGCTGCTGGTCCTGGGGGCTGTGAGGGGCACAGGACCGGACCCCGCGCCTCCACGTGAGCGTAGACAAGTCCGATCCCTCTGGGTCTTGTGGCGAGGGATGATGTTCCCCGACTCCCACCTTTGGTTTTCCTGCTTTGTCCCTGCACCCAATGCCCTGGGTGCAGGCATCGGCCTCTCCCCATCCAAGCGGAGCCCCCGCTGTGGTCTGACACCACGTTTCACACTTTCCTTCAGTATTGGCTTAATTCCCAGGGGACTCGGAGTACAGCATGGCGATTTTATTGAACAAAACAGAGTTGGGGCTCTCCAGCTTGCAGAGATAAGCCTGGGATTGTGAACTGAATATGCTGGAAGGCTGTTACCTTCCCAGAGGTGCTGTCTCCCCTGCTTACCAGTGATTGCATTTCTCAGGTCACCTTCATGCTCCCGAGGTCCAGGCGAGCCTTGCCCGGCCAGCCCTGCCCTCGCTGTGCTGCGGCAGATCCGCTGCGCGCGGGCACCCCTCCCCCCGGCACTCCGCCCCTGGCTACCTGTGATTTTCCAAGAAATCATGAACTTTCAAAGCGCTGGGGAAGGGGAACCGTGCAACAGCTGGGAGCTCTGTCAGGGGGATGGGGCTGCTGCCTCCCGGTACAGCCGCCCTTTGTCAGGGATGGGGCCGCCCCGAGTGCATTTCACATCGGCTCAGCAGCGATGTGCGTTAATGAAAGGTTGTGAGATGATTGATTTGGTATCGATCCCGGGGAGGACTCTGGCACTTCTGGTTTTATGACCTTGTCGTGCAGATCTGGGCCAATTTGAAGGGCACGTAAAGGAAAGCGTTCGAAAATCCCACCAATCTCGGGGAAACGTTGCTAAAGCCCAGGAGAGATGGGTTTATGGAATCGGAGCTGAGGTCAGAACCAGCTAGTGGGAGTTTCTGGAAAAACTGATTCAAATGCTTGGTGACTAAAAAGTGAAGACAATTTAAGATTTCAAAATACTTTACTCTTAATGTCTTATTTTTACAGGTTTAGCCTGTGATAACAGAGAGAACAGCACACCTTGCATGCAGGGAATTCGGTGCCTTGCTCTCTGGGGCACTTGTGCATCCTCCATCCTTCTGAGCTCGGCTCCCAGAGCGAACGGATGCTCTCGCCTGCCTCCCTCGTGCTTTCTAGTTAAACCAAACAGCTTCTGGGAGCCCCACAACACGCCGGGCAGGGGCCAGGCTGGGACTGCAAGGCCATGGCTCGCCCAGGCTGCCGCCCCCCCCTCCTCTGTGCTCCCAAGTCCCTGAAGCCATCTCCGAGCCCTGGGTGGTTTCGGCACTCTGATCTCTGCTAAATAAGACAAAAGCAGCAGCAGTCTGAGAGCTGCTCGTTAATGGGATGCAGCAGCTGTCGAACAGCACGGAGCAGCCCTGCACAGCGGCTGGGGGCTGTGAGTAAACCTGACGGAAAGTGCCAGGGCACGGAGGGAGGCAGGAGCTGCCCAGGAGAGCCGGGGCTGGGCCAGGGCTCCTCCGAGCAGAATCACAGAATCACAGAATGGTCGGGGTTGGCAGGGACCTCTGTGGGATCTGGCCCACCCCCCCTGCCGAAGCAGGGTCATCTACAGCAGGCTGCACAGGACCTTGTCCAGGCGGGTCTTGAATATCTCCAGAGAGGGAGACGCCACAGCCTCCCTGGGCAGCCTGGGCCAGGGCTCCGTCACCCTCAGAGGGAAGAATTTCTTCCTCGTGTTCAGCTGGAGCTTCCTCTGCTTCAGTTTGTGCCCATTGCCCCTTGTCCTGTCGCTGGGCACCACTGAAAAGAGCTTGGCCCCATCCTTCTGACACCCACCCTGCAGATATTTGTAAGCAGCTCTTCCGTGGTGTCAGAGCCGCGTTTCGGACACTTGCCCCAGCGCAGTGCGATGCCGGGATGGCTGTGCCCAACACGAGAGGACATTTCTGCTCTTTTGCTCCGTCCCTGGCCCTGGGGAGGTGGGCAGGGGGTCCGGCTCCAGAGCTGCCTGGCTGCAGAGGGCAATGCTACGCAGCGCAGCGGGGAGAGGGTGCTGTGCCCCCGGGCGTGGGAAAGCTCTGTCTGCGTTTGCTGCTCTGCCAGCCAGACCCTGGGGATGGGAGATGAGCAACTGGCTTGCAGGGAGCTCCCAGCAGATGTAGCCACGCTGCCTGCTGACCCGCTCAGGCTGCTTTGCTGTTGTTAAACATCCAACCCTGGGGTCCCTCCAGAAAGACGCTGGTGCCGCATCCCCCAGCAGATACCCGGGGTGAGTGGCTTTGCTGGAGGAGAGCAGCCAGGCAGCGAGAGGCTTCCCAGCATCTGAGGGAGGTGGATGCTGTGGTCGGGCAATGGCTGATGGGGCTCTGTCCATCTCCCTCGATGCTCACAGCAGATGCAGCGTGCACAGTAGCAAAGCACACAAGGATGAGACGGACAGTGATGCTTTGTGGGTTCAGCACCCAGCTTCCTGCAAAATGAGGTGCTACCAGGTGGGGAGGGACACAGCTCTGCAGCGGCAATGTTCGTGGTGTCACATCTGGTGGCAGCTGTCCCCAGCGGAGGGATGTGCCTGGGGACTTCTGCAGCCTAGAGCGTGCCCGACTCCGTCACCGCCTCCTCGCAGGGCGAGTAGAAGTCCTTGGCACTGGCCCCATGCAGGGGGAGGCCGGGGGGGCTGGCGTGGTGGCTGTGGCTCAGGATGGTGGTTTTCCTGCTGCAGAGGCTCCCGGTGGAGGCCTGTCTTGGCAGCCCGGGCCTGGGGCCACCCCAGCAGGACAGGCAGCGTGCTGCGTCCTGGAGCAGGTGCCCGCTGAAGAACATGTAGATCCAGGGGTTGCAGCAGCTGCTGAGACTGGCCAGCAGCATGGTGATGGTGAAAGCCGCGTTGGTGGACTCTGGGGAGGCAAGGGAGAGAGCTGGAACATCCACCAGGCTGGGCATGGTCTGGGCAGGGTCCCAGTGTGCAATGGGCAGGACCCTGGGGGCTCTTTTTGGCTCGGGCACATGTCCTTTGTCCCATTCCCGTCTCATCTGAGTGGCATTTCTTGGGTAGGAGAGTTTGCAGCATGGCAGGCAGAGTTGTGCTCTAGCCTTGGCTGAGGGTTGCAGGTGGGTGATGTACCGTGACGGGGATGTGCTGCTGCACATCCCCAGGGAGAAGAGACCCAGCAGCTTTTGGACCTGTTTGGCCAAAGCATCTCCCAGAGGCCTTTCCATCTTGGATAAAGTTCCTTCTACCCACAAACAGGCTAGGACAGCTACTGAAAAGTTCCAGAAAAAGTCAACCCATGGGATCAGAAATGCACTTCTGAAACAGGTGAAGTTCAGAAGCCATTGCTTTCCAGTGGATTATCTGGTGAAAGCAATGATTTGACTCTGCAAACAGTTTTCTATAAATACTACTGGGGAGCAAACCTGTAGCCTTCCCTGTTTTTTTAACATGACAAAATAACAGTCAGCTCGTGTTTGTTAGAAATGCCACGGGCATGCTCTGTGCCCAGGGCTCTGCGCCCACTCTGGGCTGCAGCCCAGCATCCCCACCACTACTCACCATCGTCAGGAGCATCCTCGTCCCACACCGACCACATCTGCATGCTGAAAAACGGCGCCCAGCAGACCACGTAGGCCACCACGATGACAAAGGTCATCTTCACCGTGCGGATCTTGGCACGGGAGATGGTCCGCACGCTGCTCACCCGCGAGGGCTGCCCGCTGGGGCATTGCCCGCTCTTCTCGGAGGAGCGGGGAGCAGGAGGGGCAGCTGCTGCGGCCCCCCCTGTGCCAGGTGCACCGCTCTGGGTCTTGCCCTTGAGGTTCTTGCAGATCTCGTAGCAGATGAGGCTGTAGCAGACAGTGAGGATGCCGACGGGGAGGATGAAGATGCACAGCGTGGTCCAGGTGATGTAGGCTCGGGCTCCCCACGGGTACCTGAAGTCTGCCCAGCAGTCGAGCACCCCCGAGCCCTGGCGCACCTCCCGCAGGGAGAAGATGAAGAGCTGGGGCAGGCTGCGCAGGGCGCGCAGCTGAGCAGCCACGTCGCCCCGATCATCCCGTAGGCCTGCCGGCTGGGCTGCTGCAGCGTGCGCAGAGGGTGGCACACGGCCATGTAACGGTCCAGCGTCATCGCGAGGAGCATGTAGGTGGAGGCGAACATGCTCAGCACCTGCAGGTACTTGACTGCCCTGCAGAGCGGGTCCGGCCCCAAGAAGCGGTACGTCACCTCCCAGATCATCTGTGGCAGC